CTGCTCCCTGTGTCTTCCTTGGCTTCCCCCCTGACGCTCCAGGGTGGCAGTTCTACCACCCCTCCTCTCGTCGTGTTCTGTCCTCCCAGGACGTCACGTTCGACGAGTCAGTCCCCTTCTACCGCCTCTTCCCCTACCGCACTCCTTCCCTTCCCCCACCACCGGACTTCCTTGTGCCGGTTCCCCCCCCGGTAGACCCCCCCCCCCCTCAGGTTCCTGCCCCCTCAGGTGTGTCCCAGGTAGACGCAGTTGACCCGGTCGAGGTTACTGGTGACTCTGGTGCTGCTGCGGGTGCTGAGCCTGGGGGTGCTGACTCTGGGGGTGCTGTGCGCGGGGGTGCCGAGCCTGGGGGTGCTACTGCGGAGGGTGCTGGGCCTGGGGGTGCTGACTCTGGGGGTGCTGTGCGCGGGGGTGCCGAGCCTGGGGGTGCTACTGCGGAGGGTGCTGAGCCTGGGAGTGCTGAGCCTGGGGGTGCTGTGCCTAGAGCTGCTGAGCTAGGGGGTGCTGCGTCTGGAGCTACTGGGCCTGGGGGTGCTGCGTCTGGGGCTGCTGAGCCTGGGGTTTCTCCTGGTGCTGCGTCTCGGCGGGAGCCCCTCTCTCCACAGGAGCTGCGCGAGTGGTTTGCTCGCCGCTGGAGGCGTGCTGCTGGAGCTGGAGCTTCTTCGACTGTCGAGGGTGCTGGTGCCGCCGGTCCCGGAGCTGCTGGGCCTGCGGGTCCTACTGGAGCTGGGGCTGCCGAGGGTGTTGGTGCTGAGACTACTGCTGTCTGTCCTCGCGGTGGTTCTCCTGCTGGTGCTGCTGGAGGTCCAGCCGCTGGAGGTGTTGGTGGCGCCGGTGCTGCCGCTGAGGGTGCTGGTGCTGTCCCTGCTGAGTCTGGAGCTGCCGCGCGGCCTCGACCGTACTTCGTTCCGCTCCTGCAGCAGGTTCTTGGTCTTTCTCCTCCGGTAGAGTGTCCCCATCCTGTCCAGTCGCAGTCACTGTTGGAGCCTTCCTCCCCTCTACCTGCTCCCTCTCCTTACACTGGTCCTACTGGAGGTCTTGCTGAGCGACGTGAGCCTGCGTCTCGTCCCGCGTCGCCTGTTCGTGCTGCTCGCGCTAGTGGTCGCGGTTCGCGTCAGCGTCCTCCTCCTATCCCTGGCACGCACCGGATGTCTCTGCGTCCGTCCACTGCTCCTCTGCGTGCCCCTTTGCCTTCTCCTCCTGAGTCCTCTCTTCCTGCGCTTGCCGACCCTCAGTCGGACTCCCTTCGTGCTGCCAGTCCTACTGTCACGCGTCTGCTTGCCACTGTCGTCACTGACCCCTCGTTTGAGTCCACTGCTGCGTCTGCTCTTGTCGCTGAGCTCATCGAATTTGCTGCTCGCTGTCGCCTAGACTACGCTGCTAGTCTTGTTGCTGAGTCTGTGTCTGTCTGTCCTCCGTCCGTCGGGGGTGAGTGTGCTCTTGGCACGTACGTCCTAGAGGACAGGCAGGAGGAGTTACAGTGTCTGGCTGCTGCTTCACCTCATCTCGCGTCTGTACTGCTTGCTCCTGAGGGAGACCCGGATGCACTAGACATCCCGACTCCGCGCTCTTTCGCGGAGGCCGTAGAGGGTCCCTACTCCTCTCAGTGGCAGGCAGCTATGGATGCAGAGATGGCTTCCTGGAAATCCACAGGCACCTACGTGGACGCGGTTCCCCCTCCTGGGGCGAACATCGTCAGTGGCATGTGGATCTTCAGGGTGAAGCGGCCGCCGGGCTCTCCACCTGTCTTCAAGGCGCGGTACGTCGCTCGTGGCTTCAGTCAGCGGCAGGGAGTTGACTACTTTCAGACCTTCTCTCCCACCCCGAAGATGACCACTCTTCGGGTGCTGCTGCACATAGCCGCTCAGCGCGACTACGAGCTTCACTCTCTCGACTTCAGCACCGCGTTCTTACAGGGTAGCCTGCACGAGGAGATCTGGCTGCGCCGTCCACCTGGCTTCACTGGGACCTTCCCTCCTGGCACCCAGTGGAGCCTCCGACGGCCAGTCTACGGTCTCCGCCAGGCACCACGTGAGTGGCACGACACACTGAGGACTACGCTTGCGGCTCTTGGGTTTGCTCCTTCTACTGCTGACCCGTCGCTGTTTCTTCGCACCGACACTTCACTGCCGCCGTTCTACATCCTCGTGTACGTCGACGACTTGGTCTTTGCCACAGCGGACACTGCTGGACTCGCCTACGTGAAGTCCGAGCTGCTGAAGAGACACACGTGCACAGACCTGGGTGAACTGCGCAGCTACCTTGGCTTGCAGATCACTCGGGACAGAGCACGCCGCACCATTACCTTGACTCAGTCACACATGGTGCAGCAGGTCCTTCAGCGCTTCGGCTTCACGTACTCCTCGCCTCAGGCCACTCCTCTGTCTACCCGCCACTCACTCTCAGCTCTGCCTTCGGATGAGTCCGTAGAGTCGAGTGGCCCGTACCCAGAGCTTGTTGGCTGCCTCATGTACCTGATGACCTACACACGACCTGACCTTGCATACCCTCTGAGCATTCTTGCACGCTATGTTGCTCCCGGGAGACACCGACCAGAGCACATGGCTGCAGCGAAGAGGGTATTGCGCTACCTGTGCAGTACGTCGGGCATGGGGCTAGTGCTTGGAGGGCGGAGTCCAGTGGTCCTTACAGGTCACGCGGACGCTTCTTGGGCTGACGACCAGGCTACGCAGCGGTCGTCACAGGGTTACACCTTTAGCCTTGGTTCCGGCTCTGTCTCGTGGCGGGCTACTCGTTCGTCTTCGGTTCTCAGCTCCAGCTGTGAGGCTGAGATCTACGCAGGGGCCATGGCTGCACAGGAGCTTCGCTGGCTCACCTACCTGCTGACTGACCTTGGAGAGCCGCCTCGTTCTCCTCCAGTGCTGTACGTAGACAACAAGGCCATGCTGGCCTTGTGTCGAAAGCAGCGTCTGGAGCACAGAACGAAGCACATTGCTCTTCACTACTTCCTTGCTCGTGAGCTACAGCAGCGTGGACAGTTGCGGCTTGTGTACGTGGCCTCTGAGGCCAACACTGCTGATGTGTTCACCAAGGCACTCGCGCCTTGTGACCATCAGCGCTTCTGCACCCAGCTGGGTCTTGTGCCTGTCTTGCCTCACTTGCTCTCCTCTTGACTTTACTTGTACTGTGACATATATATACCTGCTCTTGCTTGTCTAGCTTTATATATATGTCTGTACTCTTGCATGTGAACTGGCCTTTGGCCTTGCTCTTGTGCTCGGACTGTGTGGTGACTTTGTGATCCACCCTGAGTTTTGCTTTGCTTTGCTTGACTGGTCTTGTGACCCCTTGTTCTCCCCCACTTTGCCTATGGGGGTGTGTCAGAACATATATATAGCTTATACTATTGTGTAGGCTGTAGTGGGGTATCCCATAGGGGGTACAACCGGTTAGGGTTTCCTATTTGTACTCACTTCATTCATAGTTCATTCATTCTCGTTCTATTCTCAACAGTCCCGTCTGCCGCATGTGTCACACATGTCGGGGTCCCCGTGTCCAAGGTTCGGCGCCACCACTCAAGCGCTGCGCCTCGAAGGAGAGAAACCGCGTAATTAATACGCGTGGCATCGTCGTTCACGCCTGCTGCAGTGAACAAGACTTCAACGCCGAAAAGCCACCCCTTCACTGTAGTAGTCTTGTCCATAGGGTTGAACGGGGGCGGGTTGACGGGTTTAATCTTGATCGTTGTTACTGCAATTGGCATCGCTGCCGCTCGCTGCCTATCGTCTTCTTCGAAATCACGTGTGAGCGCGTCCAACGGGTTGCTCACCGCTTGACTGTTGCCCTCGCCTTCTTCATCGGGCGACTCCTGACGCGCTTCACCTCGCGTCTGGCGTAGCTTGGCGTTTTCTCCTCGTAGTGTTGTCACTTCTGCCGATAGAGTCTGCACTGTTGTCTGTAGCTCTGCCATTTGCGCCAGCATCTTGTTCAATGTCTCCTGGTCCATGAGTCGCACACTTCGTCTGGTGGGCAGAGGGGTATCCGTGGCCCTCTGGTGAGTGGAAAACTCGAACTATCGGAGTCGAGCAGGATTGAATTAACAAGCCTTGCAGCCAACCGTCGTGTAGTCCACTATACCGACCACACCCGTGCCACCAAACTACCCTCGAAAAGCGGGGTGAACTAAGAAAGTAGCTCTGATACCAGGTGTTATGAGTTGTAAAAGAGAGTGCGCGGAATAACGAATAACGAAGATGTGACTCAATGAACTGACAATACAATGAAGGCACGCGCTAATATAGTGGACCAACCTAGCTAGGCGGGAACCTCGGGAACACAAGGTTGGGTGCAGGTTGGGCAAAGGAAAGGCCGAAGGCGACGCGAGGTTGCTTCGGCAGCAAGCGAAGTGGCCGAACGTGCACTTCCGAAAGTTGGGGTTGTACGGGGTTGAGTAAACCCATGTACGGTAAGGAAAAGGGTTTTTCCTTACACCACATTTCATTCAATGCAAACATTCTTGCTTGCTATTATGAGGGTACATTCCGCTGTGGACACTGTCCCAATCGATTCTACCACACTGCATCGTCCCACACCGAATTACACCCTAGTTTCAAACATTGTCGAAATTTTCGCGTCTCAGGTTTAGTTCGGTTCGGAGCGGTACACTCGATTGGGACACTTTCGATTGGGACAGTGTCCACAGCAGAATGTACCCTGACATGTTCGTCAACACTTCCTCCCCGAAACAACCATACACAGTAACCACAGGGTGAACAGTACAGCCAATCCATTGTATTGCACTTGTCCTAAACTTGCTGTGCCTTAAATCCATGCAAGCACAACAAACATGCAGGTACCAACCACTTCTAAGCATGAACACCAAAGCACCGGGATAGGAACTCAGGCATACCAGAAGTCAGGAATGAATAGCAGAATTCGGGTGCGGATATCAAGTCAACGCAAAGTTGATTCAATCAATCGTTGCGTAGAATCATTGCGTGAAATCATTGCATGGAACCATTGCGTGGAAATCATTGCGTCTACTCATGCTGACTCTGGCTCCTTGTCAATATGTCGGCAACCAACTCTTCAGACAATCGCCCCGTTTTCTGCTCACGAATCAGGGGGGTGGGGGTGAAACAATGATAGCAGAAATCAGGTATGAATGTCAGGGACAGGGTTCATTGTTAATTCATTGGATGGGCTTATGCTGACTCCGACTCAGACAATCGCCCCCTTCTCTACGGGCGCATCAAGGGGGTGGGGTGCGGTTGGGTGGGGTGGGAACAATAATAGCAGTTTTAAGGCATGAATTAGACAGGTCATGACATGCTATTTAACATCTTAACAGAAATAGCCTGAAATGTCAGTCCGACACACGGTGACATGGTGCCATGGAATAGCACGATGGTGACATGTCCGAGAGACATGGTGCCGTGGAATGAAATGTTGTGACAAAAACTGTGGCACTGTTCCATACCTGGAAATGCCTCATGTGGAGGATCGGCAAGTAGCCCAGGTCCGCCACCGTGCCCGGACCAAGAGGCTCGGCGAACTTGTCAGGCTCGTAGGGTGCCAGGCGCGTACGAGCATCGTCTTGACCCAGCATGTGGCACACAGACATGAGGGCGTCTAGGGAGTTCATCTGGAGGAGAAGCGGAGAGGGAAATAATGAAGAGGGATGGAGTGAGAACTAGACACGCAAAACGGGCATGAGAGCATCAGCTTGACCCAGCATGTGATAGACAGACAGACATGAGGGCGTCTAGGGAGTTCATCTGGAAGAGTCACATGCAAACCCAACGGAAATGGGAGGTATGGAGAGGGATACAGTGAGATGAGAACCACACAAGCAAATGAAGGGTTCCAGAGAATCGACTTGACCCAGCATGTGGCAGACAGACATGAGAGCGTTTAGGGAGTTCATCTGAGGTGAAAGAGAGAGGGTGGGAGTGATAAAGGGAGATAACATGAGAACATCATGAGGCATGAGATGTTGACTTTTGAGTCGACTCAAACATCATGAGGCATGAGATGGTGACTTTTGAGTCGACTCAAACATCATGAGGCATGAGATGGTGACTTTTGAGTCGACTCAAACATCATGAGGCATGAGATGTTGACTTTTGAGTCGACTCAAACATCATGAGGCATGAGATGGAAGTGCTTGACCCAGCATGTGGCACACAGACATCACGGCGTCTGGAGAGTTCATATGGAAGAAAAACGGGAGAGGGGAATAATGAAGAGGGATAAAGTGAGAACCACACACAAAAAGGGCATGAGAGCATTGTCTTGACCCAGCATGTGGCACACAGACATCACGGCGTCTGGAGAGTTCATATGGAAGAAAAACGGGAGAGGGGAATAATGAAGAGGGATAAAGTGAGAACCACACACAAAAAGGGCATGAGAGCATTGTCTTGACCCAGCATGTGGCACACAAACATCACGGCGTCTGGAGAGTTCATATGGAAGAAAAACGGGAGAGGGGAATAATGAAGAGGGATAAAGTGAGAACCACACACAAAAAGGGCATGAGAGCATTGTCTTGACCCAGCATGTGGCACACAGACATCAGGGCGTCTGGAGAGTTCATATGGAAGAAAAACGGGAGGGGGGAAATGGAAGTATGGGAGAGGGATGAATGAGAAACTAATCCCGAGAACATGGTGTGTACGTTTTTCCCCCGGGTCTTGAATTCCTCCGATTATGACTCCCACTCCTCCGAGTATGAACTAGCCGGAATAAGACGCAGATGCCCATATGTGTGTGAATAAGGGCATGAGGAAGCCTTGACGCTGCCACCAGTGTTGTATGCATGTGTGTATTTCCCAGCATTCTCTCAACCCCCCTTCTCCTCCTACTATTTCCTCATCCTCCCATCCCTCCCTTTCCTCTCACACTCATGTACGGACACAACACAAAACACACCCCACAGGCGCAGGGCAACATTCTCCCCCTTCCAGGCGCAGGGCAACATTCTCCCCCTTCCAGGCGCAGGGCAACATTCTCCCATTCCACAAGCATGTGTGTGCTTCCCGTGATTGAAGAAGGGTTTTGAGACGTCTCAAAACCCTTCTTCAATCAAGCATGTGTGTGCTTCCCCCACTCCTCCCATTCCACAAGCATGTGTGTGCTTCCCCCACTCCTCCCATTCCACAAGCATGTGTGTGCTTCCCCCACTCCTCCCATTCCACAAGCATGTGTGTGCTTCCCGTGATTGAAGAAGGGTTTTGAGACGTCTCAAAACCCTTCTTCAATCAAGCATGTGTATGCTTCCCCCACTCCTCCCATTCCACAAGCATGTGTGTGCTTCCCCCACTCCTCCCATTCCACAAGCATGTGTGTGCTTCCCCCACTCCTCCCATTTCACAAGCATGTGTGTGCTTCCCCCACTCCTCCCATTCCACAAGCATGTGTGTGCTTCCCCCACTCCTCCCATTCCACAAGCATGTGTGTGCTTCCCCCACTCCTCCCATTCCACCCATCCCCCTCACGCCTCTCACATTATCATGTACGGGCACAAGGCACAGCCGCAAAGAGGCGTAGCACCCTTCTCATCCCATTCCTCTATGCGTCTTCTCCCCGTTCCCATTCTTTTAAGCTTCATACTCACCTTCATACTACTCACCTTCATACTAATCACCTTCATACTAATCACCTTCATACTAATCACCTTCATACTAATCACCTTCATACTACTCACCTTCAAATACAGCTCCCCGTAACAGAGCACCCATCTCCCTCTGTGCATGTGTCCCCACACCCCCAACACCCCCCACACCCCCCATTCCCCCCATAAAGCACAATCCCCCCGCCCCCTAGAGTCAAGTCACCTTCATGTAGGGGCACGATGCACAGCCCCCAGTAACAGAGCACCCCTCCCCGCCTTTCACGCCTGGCACCACTGGCAGCATCGCTGCTGCCACTGACCCTGCTGCCTTGCCGTTGCCCCCACTGCCACTGCTGCTGTTGTTTCCCACATCCTCCTTAGTAGAAGCAACTGCTGAGCTGTCTACAGGAAACACTATCTCTACTTCCACATCAGCGGCACCATCAGAACCGCTCTCAACCTTCGCCAATTCGTCCTGCACCGCTTGCACAATACTGGTAACCATCCCTGTCTCCGTCCCAAGAACAAACTGTAACCTCTCCCCTTCGTAACCCCTCTCCAACGCCTCCCTCGTTCGGGCAGTTACGAAATCCAGAATGTTTTGCGTTGACCCAACAGTGCCGCGGCCCCTTGCACGCGCCTCCATTGCCAATGCAAACATTTCTCCGGGCACCTCGAAATGTGCGGTGTGGAAAGCGTCGGAGTATGCCGCCCGGAGCCGCGAAACAACCTCTTGCCCGAACATGTCATGGACAATGCAGGCACCTTCCTGGAAGTATCTAATCTGGGGCAGGAGCGCGCGGAGCGAGGCTTGGGTGTGGTCTGGGTGAAGCAACCGAACCTCATCGTCAGGTACGGTGGAGAGCTGCTGAAGCATCTCGACCAGGTTCGCTCCCATGTACGTGTCTGGTCCGTACCAAAGGGTCAGGTCCGGAACTTGGGCAAAAGCCTGGCGTGGTTTTAACATGTGCCAGGATGGTGGGAAAAGGAGAAAACAGGGTGGGGTGGGGGGGATGGGGATGAATGGAGGAGAAGAGGGAGTTTTGATATGCAGCTTCACCAGAATTCTAGAACGAGAATGGCAATGAAAAGGAAAATGACGGCTGGACACACGAAGTGAGGAGAAGGAGGGGAAAGAAGGGGGGAGAGAACCAAGGAACGAGGGGTGAGGACAAGGAAAAGGAGGACCAGACGGGAGGGAGGGGGAGTAAGGAAGGGAGGGAGGGAAGGGTGGGTGAGTGTGGAGGGAGATGAAGGGCGGGCGGGTGGTAGAGGTTGGTTAAATAGGGAACCATGTTCCTTGTTTTAGCAGCTATTTTGTCGTTTAGATACGCTTCAAAATGAGCTTATCATCACGTGGTTGACTTAGCTACCATAATCCTCGTTTTGATACCTGTTGCATCGTTTCAAGACGTCTCAAAACAAGCTCATTATCATGTAGTTAAGGAAGGTAAATTGTTCCTTGCTTTAGCACCCTTATTTTACCACCCAACGTTCATGTGCTGCCAGCCAGAACTCCCTGTGTCACCCACCGTTCTCCTTGAAAAACCAGCGGCACACCTGCAAAACGGTCTGCACCACGTTGGACAACGTGCGTTATATGAATGACACGCCGTTGACAGCATACCGGTGACGGTTGCTTACCTGCAATACGGTCTGCACCACGTTTGAGGACGTGCACGAGATAGTCGGCACCGCATGATGCGCCACGGCTTTAACACCACTGCACACACCACACTCGCATGCTTCAATGCCATATTGACCACACTGCACCACACTGCACCACCTGGACAGCATACCGGTCACACTGGCTTACCTGCAATACGGTCTGCACCACGTTCGACGACGTGCACGAGATAGTCGGCACCGCATGATGCGCCACGGCTTTGGTATCCAGCGCCGTGTTGATATAGATCACGTGCAGCGACTTGGGCACCGTCGACGCCTCCTTAAGATACCTCTCGTACGCGTCGCTCCGCGCCGCGTCCGCCAACGAGCACCCGATGGGGGACGCCGCCATTCGAACGACCGGCACGTGGGCGAAGCCGCCCTTTTCAAGCACGCACCGCACGTTCTCCGCCATAAAATCCACCCCCAGGACCGCGATATAGTCACACCCCTCCTGCGCCATCTTGAGCGCCCCGTCCGCCATCACCAGCGAATCCGAGATCTTGATGTGCGGCCAGGATTTGCGCGCCGCGACCAACACGCCCTGAACTTCCGCGTCCATGTAGAAATGCGCCACGACGCCGATGCGCTTGCTAGATAGCTCGGTAACTAGCGCCGCGACTGCCGCGTCGTTTGGGCGGAGGTACTGCGCCTGGGTCACCGCGAAATCCCCGCGAGCGGTGATCGACCCGCCCCGGCCGATCACGATTGACGGTAACGGTGCCACTGACGGAGTCCGACCGAGCGACGCCGCCACGAGGGCGCGCGCGCGTTTTTGCAGGGAGAGGAGGAGGCTTACAAAGGTGGATGTGCGTACAGCGGGGGCGGCCTTAGCGGAAGATGCGCCAGCAGCGGCGGGTTTTAGGGCGGCAGTGAGGGCTTTAATTGCCGGTCCGTTGGAGTCTAACGCGAGCGCGGCGCTGACGCTGCGGCCGTTAAAGATCTCTAGGAGGAGCTGGCAAATGCCACGTGTCAAATCCGAATCGCTATCGGCCTGCAGGCGGAGCTTGAGACGGGAAAGTTCTGTGCCGTCAGTTGATGACGTGTCTTCCTCAAGTTCCACGTGGAGCCACACCTGCGCGACGCAGCCCATGACACGATTCTCACGCGCGCGCAATGCAGGCGCGGGGGGAGTTCCGCCGTTTAGCTCCCGCGCCCACTGCAACAACCGCTTCGTCCGCGCCCTACCATCTGCGGAACCGCCCCCTAAACCCTGACCCCTCTCCTCCCTCGTCTCTCCCTCTCCCTCTGCAGCAGCATCAGCAGCAGCTACAGCCTCTGCCGCTACATCATCTAGTTCCTGTGCGGCCTGAAAGACGGCAGCTTGCACGGCCTCCGCTTCCTCCCTCGCGCGACCCTCAAGCTCGCCAAGCTCCACCCGCTCGTCCAGCGACGCTTCTGCGACGCTCGCAGCAGCGGCTGCGACGTCGCTCGCCGCGGCTGCGACGTCGCTCGCCGCGGCTGCGACATGGCTCCCGGCTGCTCTCACAGACTTATTGGCCGACTCGAAATGCACGAAGCTCTGACGGGAAGCGGGAGACTCGTGAGATCGACGGGAGGCCTTCGACGTTCGACAATGGTTTTTGCGGTTTCCCCGATGCAGCACGTTGTTCCTGGAGGCTAAGTCCGCCGAGTATGCTCTTAACGAGGATACGGCGGTAGAGGTATCGTGGGATGTGAAGCTAGGAGGGGAGGTGTGGAGTGGATAAGCGGAGCGTGGAATGGAAGCATGGTTGCTGGTGGTAGGAGGAATGGGACTGGTGGTCGGTGCAACGAAAGAGGACTTGATACCTGATGCGGCCAACGGACAGGATGAAGCCATGTCAGCAAGGACTGGGGAGTGGAACTAGAGCCACGTAGAGCGTTGAAGGAGCAACGCAGGTTGACGCAGGGCGAACAATCATTAAACTCCAGCGAAAGACACCCACAATCAGCCACTCGTACTTGGCTCTGTCCGAAGGAAGACAGAGTAGAGGAACCGAGGAAGTTCGAGTTAGTCTGAAGCCGATTCCGAAGACCTTAGTTCTTGGGGCAAGCCAGATCCCCGAAGCTTTTCTCAGGAGCAGAAAAGCTGAAGTTTCAAGGCCCCAGAAGAGCTGAAGTTCTCGAGGAAGCTGTGGCCATGGTTTGCACGCATGTTGTGACACGAACGTAACCACAATCGATAGTGTCCTCGCGAAGCCTAACGACGTGATGCGTAACAAGATACAGCAGCCAAAAGGTCTTCACGAGGCCTCTCGACTCGTTGCGAAACGTCGCGTAGAGTTCACGAAAATGTGGATGAACCGGCCTGTGCATGTGGCTCTCGAGTTCCACGTGGAAGCGGTTCTGCCCTGAGCCACTCCCCAGCCAGTGGCAACCTCGCAGCAGCCGTAAATGTCATGCCACGATGGCGATGGCCAATCAGGCGGACTGCCTCCCCCCATTCGGCCACAGCACTTCGCTACATGAACTGCTTCAGAAAAATAGGACAACACATCCCAGCATTACAAATTGTTTCAATCTTTATTTACAGAATATAGGAAGATTTGGCTCATTATTTTGCTTCACAGATGCATGGATACTGCTACTATGTATACCTCTGGGGCATTGATTCTACACCAACCCAGGCAAATACATTACAATAGAAAGCAGAGACCCATGATATTGGCATGCTGCTGATGGTTACCTTCTGCATTACATGCACGGTAACCAGCAGCAGCATCCAAGAATTCAGCTGAGGCGGCTTGTATATAACAGTCCATCATGCCTGGGGGGGAATAAAGACCCCAGTGCCTGCAGCGCTTTGGGGCTGGAGGAAGCGTGGTGGCTGGAACCTCCTCCTCTCTCCTCCGCTCCTCTCAATCTCAACAGGCAAGCGCTTGTGCTGCTGCTCCATCCACTCCCTCTGTTGCTGCTGCTGGAGGTGCATTGCCTGCTGCAGCCGCATCTGGTTCAGGTGCATCTGATTCTGGTGCATCTGGTTCAGGTGCATCTGCTGCCAGTACATCTGGTTCATCTGCTGCTGCGCCAGAAGCTGCGGAGGGCATCCCGGGAACCCGTGGTGGAGGGATGGCGGGAAGATCGGAGCGCCTGACGCGTGCACAGCAGGGAAACTGATTGGCTGACCCAGAGCGCCTGTGCGACCCACAGGAACAAATGGGCCTCTTTTATCGGAAGAGAAAGCATTCTTCGTAGCATTCGCGGACAATGAGTTGTTCTGGACCTTGGCGAAGGAAGCGGGAACCTCGTGAGTGTAAAGGTCTTCCGGAAGCTTAATCTCCTCAATTTCCCGGCGGTCAGAACACGCGCCTCGGGCGCTTAGGGTTTCAGGCCGCAGGCGCCTCTCAGCTTCGAAATAATCGTCACCAACGTCGACTTCCCGATGATGCGAGACGCGATTTTGCCGCAACACGGATCGGGGCGACGCGCGGCCGTCTGACGAGTCGCCAGTCGAGGCCGCGGAGCGCGGCGAGAAACAGGAGAATGTGGACGCGGTGGAGCAGGTCTCGTCCGACGAATCCTCGCTCGCGGCATCTGAGGAATCGGACGAGTCGTCGTTCTCGTCGCTGCAGTCGCTAATACTGTCGCTCACGTCAATCTCGAGCTTGGAACGACGATTTCTATCGCAGCTGGTTGCATTAATATCAGCAGCGAATTCGTGGTCGCCCGAATCCGCGCTGCTGTGCGGGGATCCCTTCGGAGGGACCGTGCTCCACACGTTGTTCCCTCCGAAACTGTGATTTGGGAGAAATAGGCCTCTCACGGGAGTAACCTTATAGTGACGATCGCGAATGTCGAGTTTCATCAGCTGCTTCATGTCGGTGTCTAGGAATTCCTTGGCAGCTTCAACGGGTGCAGAGCAAGAGATGAGGGAATCCATAACGAATATAATTAATGCGGCTAATACTGAATCCAAAGTTCTAAGGTATCGGAAGCTAAACAATGACGATGTTGTAAGCTGGTGTCGGTTCTCCTTCGGCTGTCGAAAGAAGCTGAACTGCGTTGGTGGGTCGGTAGTTGTGTGATAGTCTGGGAGAGGCGGTTGTTTTGCTGTGTTGAAATCTGCTCGTCATTGCGCCTTTTGTATGAATTGTTGCAAGATGATTGATTGATGAAGCTCGCTGGATTTCTGGCTAGTTGGACCTTCCGCGAAGCAATGCAGCAGCTCGAGGCGCGAAAACGAAATTCCCCGTGTGAAGCACGGGGCGCGACTTGTTTGACCGTCGCATGCGAGGATGTTCTGCGAATGTTCCGTCGTCTCCCACCGCGCGTTCGTGACGAGAGTGGTCGGCGGGTCGCACAAAAAGTATGTACGACCCGTCCTTAGGTCGTACGGCGACAACGCAACAACCTTACGATGGAAGTAACGAGGAAGAATTTTCCCCAAACTCAGGCTGTGGCAAAGCCGACAAAACGCTAGGTGATGGTAGGGACCTACGACTGGAACATGGAAACGACAAAAACGCTAGCTGACGGGGATGGAAATAGGCTCGTTGTTGTCACAGAAATGCCAGACTGTTTATCTCATCCATACATTGGTAAATTGCACGTGTAACAAATTATTTGCGTTCAACACTGCGCATTAGCTTCCAGCCCCTCGAAGCGCACTTGTCTCTTATAATTTTGAATCCCACTTCGCTTATTATTGTTTACGTCACCACGCTCTCTTGCAATCACTTACGTCAAAGTAGGAGCTAAGGCAAGGAGCCATAGCCAGTGTTAACGAGGATTACGAGAGAGATGGGGGTTCACTAACGAGAACAATACAAGATCTAGATGCAAGGGAAGGTGGGGAAAGGGGATACTCTACCAACAAAGAAACTAAATGATACTACACTTCTAGTCTAGCATGCAGTTATATATACTTAGAAATTCGACATCTCCCTTAACTGCATGGAGGACTATGTAATGAGGAGCGCTCTACCCAAAGTGTTGAAACCTCTGGTCTCTACACGCTACCATTGTCAGAATGTGTAGTTTGTTTAGCCTGCAGTGGTGTACTCTATAGTGAGTACGACCCCTTATGGTTTCCTATGTGTATCCACCTGCTTGCTAGTGCAATCCCTCTTTGCCTGTTTCTCATTCCTGCTAGTTTTTTCCGTCATGCTATCAGAGCGGTTACGCTCCTGGCCTGTGGGCCCACCGTTAGCTTCCGCTGCTGTCCTATCTGTCGCGCGCCCCGTGGCGCGTGACATTTTTTCTTCTCGCCACGCGTTCGGGGCGCACGGCGGTTTCCTGCCCCGTCGACCAGCGCGTCGCCCCCCGTCGTCCGTCGAAGCGCCCCCGGGGACCTGCGCGTCGCCCCCCGTCACCCGTCGAAGCGCCCCAGGGACCCGCGCGCGGCCCGTACAGCCTGCGCGCGGCCCGTACGACTTGCGGCAGGCCCGCGCGCGGCCGGTACAGCTCGCGCGCGGCCCGTATGGCCTGCACCAGGCCCGCGCGCGGCCCGTACGACCTGCGTCAGGCCCGTGCGCGACCTGTACAGCCCGCGTGCGGCCCGTATGGCCTGCGGCAGGCCCATGCGCGGCCCGTGCAGCCTGCGCCAGGCCCACGCGCACCTGCTCTGTCGTGCGTGCACCCGCTCCCGCCCCGTGCTGCCTGTGTTAGGGTTTGGGGGTGGCGAGTATGGGGGTGACGGATGTGTGCGCCATCCCCTGCTCCTCCTCCTCCTCCTCCATCTCCCACTACTGCAGCTGCCGCTGAGGGGGGGTGGATGTGTGGGAGTCGTTGGAGTGGTACTAGGGGGGTGGCGTGTGAGCAGTGCTAGGGGTACAGTAGGGGGTGTGTGAAAGGGGTGTGGAACAGTTGGGGGAAGTTGAGAGGAGGCAGCAGTCTTATCGTCCGCAGCGCCTGTAGTCCGGAGCCCTTGTGCTCTCGGTAGCCCAGCGAGCCTGCTTCGCCAGTCGCCTAAGGGTCCGTTGCTCCTGCCACTCGTCGTAGCCGCGGAGCTAGATACTCCTGTAATCCGGTGCCCTCGTGCGATCGGTAGCCACTGTGCGTGCCGCTCCTATTGTCCGTGTGTCTGCAGCTTCAGACGCCGCCTCCCATCTTCTCTCCTCTCACAGTTCCTCCTCCTTCTCACTTGCCCCTTGTGATAGCCTATAGCTTTGCTTATATTTGTGAACTATGAACGGCTGCTTGTTTTGCTGATCATACCCCACTTTGACTATGGGGGTGTGTCAGAATGTGTAGTTTGTCTAGCCTTCAGTGGGGTTCTCTACAGTGAGTACGGCCCCTTAGGGTTTCCTATGTGTATCCACCTGCTTGCTAGTGCAATCCCTCTTTGCCGGTTTCTCATTCCAACTAGTTATTTCTGTCAACCATCCCCCCCCAAGTCATCGGTGCTCGGCTCTGCACTGCTGGACTCACCAGGCTGCTGCTCTCTGATGCATGTGAAACTGAGAGGTTCTGTTGGCAGCAGGTGCGAGTGAAAGGCGGGGCAGCGTGGGATGAGGCGGTTAGCGCGGACGTGGCGACGGGGCCGCGAGCGACGGGTGGGCCATGACAGGAGCGACGACAACAGCTGCGGCGGCTTGCGCAACGGGCATAAGCATAAACGATCACATCGCATATCGCGGCCATTAGCTGCTCGTCGTGGCGGTGGCATTGCAGGTCGCTAGTAGCTCCAGACGAGCATGAGGGGAGTTTCCCATGGCTTAAAAAATATATATATCAAGGCCTAAGGTCGATGTGCGGGCTCTGATACCATGTCAAAAGTCGAAGCTAAAGCAAGGAGCCATTGCTAAGTTTATGAACGAGAATTACGAAAGAGAGGGAGGTTCACTAACAAGGACAATACATGATAACAATGCAAGGGAAGGTGGGGAAAGGGGGTACACCGCCAATGAAGAAACTAAATGATATTACACTTCTAGTCTAGCATGCAATTATATATGAGTATGAACTCAACTACTTATTACTGTTGTAATCGAAGATTGTATTTATAAAGTTGTCATACATCGATCGCACATAACATAACAGCGGACCGTGGCAGTAGAGAGGGGTTGAATGTCGACACAACTGGCTATACGTGATATATAAAGGATTACAAAGGAACAAGAAGGTTTCTAACTAGCCAGGTACTAAGGAGATATATTTTCGTTTACGCTAATATAGAACAAGAATTATGTGCCGTTCGGTAACTGTTCGTATGGTGTTCTTGTCGCGCGTTGCATTGCAAATACTTCGTTCTGCAACCGTCTTCGATAACCGCTTTCTTCATCTTAGATTCAACCACCTTTGGGCTAATACTTTGTTACTTCATAATTTTTTCATCAACAACCCCATATCATAACACTTCCCTTCATTCCTGAAGGAGGGGAGTCTTCACGTGTTTGGTTATGCCGCAAAAGCTTGCACAGTGTTGGTACTTCTCACGTTTTAGCTTCTTGGTGTGGAAGTCAGCTCCCATGTCATCGGCGGGGCAGCAAATAAAATCAACCTTGCACTTGTAAATATCGCTCTTGACGAAGACGTACCGGAACACAATGTGCTTTGTGCGATTGACAAAGCCAGGTTTGTTTGCCATCTTGATCTCGTTATTGTTGTTATAGTGAAGTTTGAGATTCGCGGATGTCGCTCCTGAAGTAGCTCTTGGAGGTAGAGTCCTTCTCGAACTGCTGACGTGGCTGCAAATATCTCGGCTTCAGCGGAGGAGAGAGCCACCAGTTTCTGTTTCACAGAGTTGTAGGAGGTTGGTCCGATGGGCGTGAGCCAGAACAGCGAGGCGGTTCGTGATTGTTGATTTATCGGATCCGCTGCATTATCAGCGTCCACGTAACCGAAGAGGCTGAATGTTTGAGTCTTGATTGTAAAGTAGGTGAAGCCAATATGTGGCATGGAAATAAAGTACTACAGAGGTTGCTAACGATCCAACATGTTCTTCCTGTCAGGCCGCTTGGATTACTGAGCGAACTAGCTGGCGATGTAGGAGAGATCGGGCTTGCAGGTTACGAAGGCGAAAAGGAGACATCCCAACTACTATTGGTAGAGCTGGTGTGCGACTGGGCTGAGAGGTGTGGTGTTGATTACGTACGGTATTGCGAGT